TTTAGATATTAGGAGACATATCTGGAATCAAGGCAGATTCTCAAATCAAAAATGTGTACAGATCTTTCTAAAAATGCTGATCTGAGACAATCTCAGTGTGTCCCAGGTCAGAAGCAGCAGCTACAAAGAGATTTTAGGCTAAATATCTTTTTTAGGCTATCATCTTTCTCTAGTAAAATAGAGAAAAAAAAACTTTCTGTCATTTTTCTTCTCTATGAGTTTTTGCAGAGATCTTCTGGGAAGGCAGGGAGAAAATGCTGAAATTAAGAGTGGGGGGAAGAGGGAGAAATGGGCTCCACCGCTCTAAAACTCTGCAGAAAAACTACTTGGAAGATAATGTGGTTTGAAACTGTATTAATGTTGTATTTCACTTTGCTTTTCAGAAGGTCCATAAAAAGAGGCAGTGGCAGAAACCAAGGGAAGGCCAGCAAAACTATATTGTAAGCTGAGGAAAGCCAGAAAGGACGCTTTTCCACTCTGCCTATCTTCTAGTCCCTACGTGGAAAAGTGTGGCCTTGGAAAGGGTGTGTGGGAACCCAAGGGAGGAAATCCTTCACCCCTTGTCTTGGATGAAATGAATCAGGACAGAACTTGATCAGCAGTCTCTAAAGTGGTCTATTCTATTTAAAAAATAAAAAGAAAAAAGAAAACAAAAAGAAAATTGCCTGTCAGAGACACGTTACATTGGATACATTGGATAAAAAATTCTGTTTTTCAGTTTAGATAATTCATGTCCTAGAGAACAACAAAGAAAAATTAAAAAGCTCTCAAGAAACAATGGGATCTATTCTGTCCTCAAATGCATGGCTTAGTTACAAGTGGGCTCTGAGCCAACTTCTGTGCTCAGCTACATGTGTGCAATTTCCTTTGACTTAGAGCATATATTTTTGTGGTCAGAATCCAGACTTTTTGTGTATTGGAATTCCTGTTATTTATTTTCATTATTTGTATGTTATTATAAGAATCATGACCTCGTGTTTTTGAGCTTTGGAAAAACAAGGCTCTCTGTTCAGGCCAATGGAGAGATTACAGTCCAGTAGAACCAACAGCATGTAAGGGGTGGGAGCAGTCTAACCATCAGTCCTCTACATGGTTGTATCTTTCTCAATTACAAATAAGTCTATGTAAATTTTGGTCACCTAGAGAATAAGTTACTTTCTTGAAATGAATAATTTCAGATGCCTGATGAATTCTCTGTCTGTCTTTCCCACCCCTCCCTGCACCCAGCACAACACTGCTTCCAACCCCAAGTTTGTTGAACTGTAGTCTTCGTCCTTAAAGCTGGTTTACCCTGGGAAGGTGCTTGGTCTTGTTTCGAGCACCTGCTTTTAACAGAGTCTACACACCACTGCAGCCAACTTCTGTTCTCAGCTACACGTGTGGCTTCCTTTCGCTTAGAGTATATATTTTTATGGGCAGAGACAGTTCTTTTGGGGTATGGCTCTACACAGGCATGGAAGCCTATCTGTCTCACCTTTGCCTGGGGCTTGTAAAGAAGATGGCAGAGGACACAGAGTGGAGGAATTTGAAGGAGCAGAAGGTAATGGCTTCAACTGCTCTGTTCGGGGACCATATCCAGCATCTGACATGACAATGGAAGAAGCGTGAGGACATTGGTAGGTGGGAATTACACAAATCAGCTCTTCCTCTGAATGCATCCTTGTATACAGAGCTTCAGTGTTTAGAGATCAACATGGTGAAAGCAAGAAATCAGACGGACTTAAAGACTCATGTCTCTGTGATGGAGGTGGAAGAGTAGGGATAAGACAGAGGATTTTAAGCCCTCAGAAAAGAACCAAACCAGCGTGTTCAGTCTCTTCTGTGTCCTGAATGCCTGTTTGAATGCTGGCAAGTGCAGCTGGGGTTCTGCAGGTTTGAGAGCGAAGGGTATCAGGGCAGGGAGCAGAGCCAGGGAATGACTGCTCTCTATCCCTTGCCACCCCTGGCGCCTTTCCCGGTGGAAGTCAGAGTGGGAATTAATACACACGGAACTGGTATTGTTCCAACTCTCCAAAAGGAAAACAACATTTTTTTCAAGCTATATGATTCTTGTTTGTGGCTACGTGACACGTTATTTAATGACTGTGAAATACTGCATTGTTCTGATTTTGAAGATGCATACATCTTTGGAGGACCACTCTCATTTTTCTAAATGCTTTTTAAATGCAACATTTACAAACACCTTCATTTTCTTGTTGCTGCTGACTTACTCATTGACATTTTAAGCTAAACAGCATATGGCTTATAGCTTTGTACAAGCAATTGTATACAATTCATACATTTTCTGGAATTAGAAAGCCTTGGAAACATGATGACAATTTTCAGAACTACAGGTTTATTCTTGAAACTAGGAGATCTGTGAGGTCTATTCTTCATTTTTACAGATTTTTCCAAGTGATCCAAAAAGAGTTGCTCAGGCCATCACAATTTCTTGGCTGCAAAATAACAGAAACAACACAGGTGGATATTTAGATGTTTAATTCCCACATGTGTTCAATGTGCTTTGTGGTCTTTAGATGGAAGGGTATTACTGGAGTGTAAGATATTAATTATTGTTATCAGCATCTAAGACATCTCTTGCTGAAGATTTAAATCAGCTTCCCCTGGAAACATAGGAAATAGGATTTAAAAGGACCTCCCGCATCAAGTTCAAAACCCAGCTTTTGTTGTCAACCACACATCACATAATTGGTTTCATGAAGTACTCAAGTTTCATGCTTTAACCAGTGAAGTTTCTTGCTCCCTCTGCTCCTGTTGGAGGGCTGCTACAGGATATCATTCCAGTACTTCCTTCTAATTTTCCATTGGAGTTTATTCACAACCATTTTATAACCATTTGTTTTTATGTCAACATCATCCTTTAAACAGCTCTTCTCCCTCCTTGTATATTTATATATAACATATATACATAACATATAGTTATGTTCTCTCTCAGACTTTGTTTTGTTTGTGTAAACAAGCAAAGCACTTTTAGTCTCCCATACACCTTGGTGCTTGTCCCAATTTCAATAAATTTTATTGTACATGGGTGCTATAAAATGGGTGACCCAAGCTGTACACTGTCTGACTGTATTCTGTCAGAGCAATGGCATTCAGCGAAAAACAGAAAAAAACCCACCATTTCCAGATAACTCTCCCATATCACACTTTTATTTAGTATAGGCACAACTTATCTAAGGCTCACACTCAACTTTTATTAGTAAGGAAAATAATCCAAATTGTTTAAATACTCAACTTGTACCTCTTCTTTTAGCCAGCTTCTGAAGCAATGCTACCCACTCAGACTGGTTTCCTAAAACCACTGCTCCATTATTTGTTTTCTGAAGCATACCATCTTGAGGCTATACTCCAGGACCTAACCTCATCTCATCCCATTCCTTTCCTTCCCTTTTCTCTGCTTATATTATTGGTATTTTTCCCATCTTTGTGTAATCAGAAAATTTCAATTTAACATATTCCCTTTCTGAAATGTGGTTATTAATGAAAATACGGCCCTACAAAATGATCAGTACTAAGAGCATTATGTGTAGGATTGGACCACTGATCTCTGTCCGCCTCAATAGATTTGTTTTCAGCACAACCCACAGTTACTTCTTCTCCAGTCAGTTCCTCACAGTTCTTCCAACTGATCTCTGCTTTCTCTAGTTTAAATAATCCCCTCCCCCTGCAATGCCCTGTAATATGATTTACAGATACTAAGAGGAGTAGGATCTATTGTATTTCCTTTCTTTAGAAAAACTTCATTATTTATGAAAGAAAGTTATGAGAGCAGTATGATATGATCTATTTTTGGAAAAACCTGACGTGTTTTAACACATCTCTTGTTTCCTTCAAAATTAATTTTAAAACCTGGCATGCAACGAGACCGCATTATGAATCTAAATAAATGCTCCAACAGTCATGTACTTGGTACAGTAACGGGTTAATTGCTGCAGTGCAGGAGGCTGATAGGGAGCCACAAGAAGGTGCATGCCTTAATGAGGAGCTGGTAAGGAGCCCTGGGGCATGGAATAGGGGCTAATATAAAGGAGAACACAGCAGGAATAGAAAGCTGAGCAACCTAAAAAAAGATACACTTGCTCTTTACTTGTTTAGGCTGCAATTACTGTCTTGCATGATCACCGACAAAACTTAGAAACACTAAAGTCACTCAATGAGATGGATGTGTGCATGGAATATTTCTGTCCCAGACTAAGTTTTCTGTGTTTTAAGGATTCACTGGCACTCCATATTATGTTTTCTCAAAACAATGAGCTACCAGTTAAACTGAGAACTGGAGCACTGCTTTGGTGGGTGGATATACTATTCTTACGGTCAGTGCTTTTGATTTCTGGGGAGGGACTCTGTTTCCAGGCTACATTTTATTTAAAAGAGCAATTTTTGAAAGACATCAAGTTCACTTGGTCTAAAGGACAGTCCACCAAATATTGGAAAGGAGTAACTCTAACACATGGATCAGAATAGCTCCGCTGCAAATGCATGCTATGCAATGACACTGATCCACTTTGTGATGCTTTGTTCCGGCTTCCAGGTAAAACTACACCCAGTTGCAATTTCAGATGGGCCAGTAACATACAGAATACTAACTTTGCCTCAGTATTTTGGACAAAATTAGTTCTTTCTTTCTTGGGGGCTGGTTGGCCAGGGCGATGGAAGATACAAGGATCAAAACCAAAGAAAATTTGTTCAAATCTTATCAGATGTTTAGCTTGATGTCCAGAATGGTCAGTCAATCATTTGATATCTCTCCACTTCATGCATTAATTAAATACCTCTGAGTCATATTTCTTCAATAATCTTTTTTTTAAAGTAGATAGTTCTTTTTTACACATGGTGCACAAGTAGTGGGCTTTATAATATGTACTTTCTCTAACTGTAGCAGCACATGGTATCTGGTCTTCACAAATTTCTAATTGCTGGATGTTCCTTTCTAGGATTAACTAATTGTAGTATTAGATCAATATTACTGTAAATGGAACTGGGAACAAAATCAGACTTACTGCATAGTGGTAATCATCTAGGTAAACACTGGAGGTAGCTTCCAAGTCAAATAATAAGATCCTCAAAAGCATGTTTCTGTAAAACACAAGTAAATATATAGTCTTTAACAAAACATCTTCAGAACCCCAGAAAAACATTAAACTGGAACAAAGTAAAGGAGAATTTGCCTAAACATCAGCTCAAACCTTTTTCTTTACCATTCTTTTATGCTCATTCTATTCTAATGGATTTTTTCCCCCCATTATACCTTTCCTCTTGATCCTTCAGCCTTCTTCATCTTCCTTGCTCTCTTTACAATAGAAATTGCTATACAGGATCAGACAATAAATCTTTTGAGTTTAATATTCAATCTCTCTGAAAGAACTAGTGTATCTGGTCTCCTCCTTGTCTTTAACAGAGATTGACCTAAAGCCTGAATCTTGTGATTAGTATCCCTCTTACAAAATGGATAACTGTAAGTATTTTGTACTATCTGTATAAATATCTTATAGAGCACGTGGCCTTGGTGAACAAGGGCAATTATTACCACAAGGTAATTATGTACTGTGACTAGGAAGGGGAAATATTTTCTTTTCATGAGTTTCCAAAGACCAGCTTTTACTTTCAGGCAGTATTTCTTTACCCTCATGTAGTCATAGGACGGCAAGGATGAAAATTCCTTATTGACCCCTACTATTATTTTGGAATTTTTTATCATGTTAGCTCTGATTTTGTTTATTTCCTTTATTTTTGAAGTCTACTTTTGTCTGTTGCTAACACTTTTATTGCTGTGTAGCCTTGGTTTCACCAGGGTTTGTGCACCAAGTACTACATAAGCATTTAAGAAAGCAACATCTTGCTCTGAGCAAGATGAGACACCAAGGGATGAGTGGGCAAGAAGTAATGCACTCATTAAGGAACTGTTGTGCTGGAAACATGGCATGCACATGTGGATGTGTGCCTTAAAGTGGGATGTCCTCCCAGAAAGCTGCACCAGTTTTACATCACCTCTGACGATATCCCTTGGCACAGACACATCGGCATGCAGTGCTGCTGTGCTGCCTGTCCTGCAGTTCGAGCTGAGTAGCCTGTGGGTGCAGGGGAGTTGGCAGAGCTGCAAGGTCAGTTGGGAATCTCTCACAGCCCAGAGGCAGGTTGCCACACAAGCCCCAGGGACAGTGATCCCAGTGCAATCTGCTCCCTTGCTTGGGAAAACAGTTCCTCGGAAGGAGGAGGGAGAGAGCTGCCACAGGCAAACTCCTGGGGGAGGAAGAAGCAGGAGGAGTGTACTGTGTGGTTCATTGACTGTATGGGGAGTGTGGGAGAGGGGAATCCGGTAGTAAACACAAACAGATGGGCAAGTTCACAGGAGAAGAGGCTGAAGACTGGGAAAAAAAAAAGGCTATCTTTGGGAGGTTGGTGGGGACAAAGGCTGGGAAGCTCCGAGAAGGTGAAGCATCCTTCCTCTTCAGATGAAAGACTTGTCTCTAATACAAAAAATCCAGGAAGGATAGGTCTGCCATTAGCCCCTTCAAGGTGTCGTGTACTAATGAGGTAGAAAGAAAGACATGATTAATTTTCCACTAAGGTGATAGTAGGAAAATTAATGTTTTTACAGTGGTTTAGGCATATCTGATCTCCTGTTTTGATGGTATTTTCTCACCATATTCATCCCAAGCTCAACCACATTGTGCCCCATCCTTAAGAAAGAAAATAGCACTTGGTTACAAGCAGTAGAGAATTGTGTAAATGCTGTAGCCCCCATAACCATGAGCTACATGCCAAAAAACTTTAGGAAATTCCAAGTAAACAGTCTACATAAAATTGTGGAAACAGTATCTCTGACTGTTATTGAAGGGAGAATCATTTCCCACAGAAACATTTACAGTACAAAGTGCTACAAATCTTATAAAATTATTCTTAAAATTTAATTTGACTAGGGCAGGTCTGTCTATTAACTTCTGAAAAAGTGATTAAATTGGTACTAATCCATATTCTTGCTATGTTGTTTGTTATCTGTTTATGGACAATTATTTTACCATAGAAGTATCTTCTATTGATTTTTCTTAAATTATTTCTTTGCTATAAACTGTTATCTATGCTGCGTAATAGACCAAAAGAGGGACTTGAACATATGACAACAGTAAAATAAAAGCCTGTACCATTAGTTTGGATCACTGTGAAATGTAGAAAAGTTTCTGCAAATTCACCCGAAAGAAAACTTATTCTTGCTCATGTGTAGTTGCTATAGAACAGGTACTACTGATCCAGAGCAGACCTCCAAGTGATCGAATCAGCTGTTCTTCAAAACTGCAAGTCTACAACACATTCATTGCTCTCTTGTAGGCTAAAGATGGATAAAGTTGGGTGTGCTGTTAGGGGTAATGTTCCAACGAGGAAGTAATGTGCATATACTGCTTGAAATCCCATCCCATCAAGCTGCTGAGACCTCTAATTCTCATGATGATACCTTTGGGGGCTGTAGGCATCTTGAAAACAAAGCTGCATGTCACAGTGAGTCTCTAACAGCACGTGAATCAAAGCACTGTATTACAAGAGTAACAGAAGAAGTAATTCATGTAGGTTCCATTTCCATTTAACAAACAATTTTTTACCCAGATACAATTGTTGCTGGGAAGATTCCATAACCCTAAATTTGGGATGATACAGTAATTTTAGAGATGCATTTTAAACATCAACTAAGGGAACTCACTGTAATGCTGAGACATAAATATATCTGCATATAGGGAAATAGGGAATTAATCTTAATTAGCACTGTATTTAAAAACAAAAAACCAAAAAATTGTAAAACTTAATACAAATACAGATACTTTCATGCAGGATGCAGAAGATTAATCAAGTTCCTTATGATGAAAATTTTCTTTTTATTATCATTGTTTTCTATTATTTACGTTGTGAAATGATTTCAGGCCGTGAACTAGAGGCCAGGTTCTGTTATAATGGATATTGAGCATGTAATGAAAAGACAACTTTCCTGCCTAAAAGGTTCTTGAGCTAAATTTATGTCTATATTGTAGTCAAAAGACAGAAGGTACTGCACATAGCATGAAGATACTACAGTCAGTTCTAAGTTCTAAGTCAGTTCTGAGGTTAGCCTGGTAACCTAACCTCAGGAACACAGGCTCAGTGAGGGCTAGTTAGCCTTCTGTCTCAGTAGATTTTGCAAAGGTGGTAGAGAAAAAAGCAAAAAGTGAATCTTGAGGGGAAGAAAACAGGCTAAAGAGAGGGGAAAGTTAGTAATGTTATCAGATTTTACATGCAAACAAATGGCTCAGAAGCACATACAGGGAAGGTTGTGAGGTTACTACAGAAAGAAGGAAAGTTAGAGGTAAATATAGAGTTTGGAGTTACACCCAGTCTAATAGCAAAATTCTTGTTGGTGGGTAGTTGTGCAAATTTGCCTGCCATCTTTGTTGTATACAAACTGCTTCTGGTGGCGGAACACCCAGCTAGCATCCCTCGATGGCACTAGGGATTAATTAAGCATGATGTCTTTCGGAAAGTAGCAGCATTTTCTTGGAAGGCAACAAGGGGAAGCTAAAAGTTTTGCTGTGTAATGAAATGTTACCATACAGTGAATCCTTGTTACCTCATTACTCTTAAACCTTTGTTAAAAATAACTTTTCGAGTGTATTACCTAATTGGTTAATTTGATGATCTTAGTGCACAATTCCATAACATGTTTGGTCTCACCTAGATGAGACAGCACTAGTACTTAGAAGTCAGGAATGTGAAAGTTAAGGTTGAACGGACCGTTTTCCCTCCTTTCTGCATATACCTTGTGACACAGTCTAATTATATTGCCCACTACTGTTTCTCTGTTTTGACATTTTACAGATCCTCAAATAAACCACTTAACCTGTGACATGTGTGTCCATAAGTCAGAAGCCATTACATTATGTTTTGTAGTTTTATTCAAGATCCCAACATCAGAGAACACTTGAATAAAACATAGGACATTTTTATGGTAAAGTCTTTAAGGTAAAATCTTACAAGTCTTAGGAAAAAGTCTGTGGCTAAAAAGTTAAAAAAAAGAATTTTCAACTTAGCGTGAATGGTAACTCATTTTCAAGTGCATATATAGGGCTTATTAGACAATAGATAGATTAAAGTTAGGTACACATAGAAAATTTTTTAAATTTAATCTGTTGGCCTGTTGTATTCAACAGTTTCAACAAGTTTTAATTGTGGCTTTTTTTTTTATTTTAATGGGACATTTCATTCAAACTGGTATTTGAATTTATACTGACTGAAAAATTAGATTCATTAAATATGGAAATAAGGTGAAGCATGGAGAATTCAGCCCTGTTTCAAAAGGTGAAGAACATGTTGAAATCATGAGTTATAAAAAGAAGGAACTTATGTATTTACAACAACTGTTCCATAACGTCAGTACATTCTCTTCTATGAGATTTCCTTGTGACTTCTGGTGTGAGGCTTTTGACTTTATGTACCTCTGACTAATTTACCTTTCACAGGCCTGGGCACTCCCAAGCTGTAATGTGCTTCACATGGAAAATATATGTGAATAACAGGAACAAAAATGATGCTACGAGAGGCTCCAAGCTTTTCAGACCCTCCAGAAAAATTATGTGTGAAAACATCAGGTAAAATTTTAGTGTCACTGACACAGATGAAAATTCTGTTGTGGCATTTCATGAGTCTAGAAGTTCATATACAGTTCATAATTCAGTGTATACAGGTGCCTAGGAAATTACAGCCTTGTGGGGCTTTTCTAGGTAAGGCTTAGCTGTCTGTTCTGTATCTCCTTCAGTAGTGACACCACTGATGAATATAAAATCATTTTTTCAGCAATTATTCTCAGGCTACTTCTGTAGTTTACCACAAAGTAGGAAAATTGCCTGGCTAGAGTCCTGACTATATCACTTGGTAAAGTGGAGGGAACAGGAGAGAGGGAAACAAAGAGAAGGCAGTTTTGCTAAGGAAAATCACTATTAATCTCTATATCCATTTCTTCTTTTATATTCAAGCAAAATATGAAAAGTTTTCTTCATAATCAGTGGACCAATCTACCTCTCTCCTAGTTCTTTTACAATTAATAGATTTGTATAGGC